ACATCTCCCTAAACTCCCACTTTGCTTATCTGTTCTAAGTGGAACAGATGACATCAACTCCCTTAAGATATAGTATTCTGTATCTTAAGAAAGATTGAATGATAATACAATTAAAAGGGATTTGTAACTGGTTTAATTACCACAGTAACCATTGAGAAATGACTATCAAGCTAGAGTGGACATTGTGCACATCATATAATATAATGGTTCACATTAGGGTACAAGAGCCCCGGCACAGATTTTTTTGTGAGTGTGACTTGTAATGCTATGTAACATCTCTGTGCTTTGGTGTTCTTAATTGAAATGATTAGTACTAGCATCTAGTTCATAAGGGATAAGGATTTACTAGCTTGGTTTGTGTTGAATACATACTAAGGAAGTCTGTCTTAATATTTTGATCATGACTTTGCTAGAGTAGTAAAGAAAGTTCACAGATGTATTAAGTAATTGATATGAAATTGAGAAGAACATGAAATACTTTGGGACAAAAAAGCTTGGCCAGTTAAAGTAATGGTCCAGATCTGGTAAATAGAAACTTAACAGAATATATCATTCAGAGTTCACTATTTCCTGTTTGTGGCTCTATAAGGGATCACAACTTGTGTCTGGGCAGAGAGGCTGAGTTGGTACTTCCAAGCTGTCCTCAGCTTCCATGTATCATGGGAAGAGACCCCCCGCCCTCAAAAAAGAAAGATTTTACTTATCTGCCTTTGAAGGAGTCATGGGCCTGATTGATAATAGGATACTGGTATTATTTTGGGGGTATGTTTAGTTAAATAAAATGTCATATTAAGATGAACTTCATGGGCCAGAAACATGGATCATAGAGTAATGTACTTGCTGTGTAGGCATGAAGATCTGAGTTTGGATCCTTAGCACCCATTTAAAACCGAGATATAGAAACTGGTACAATGAAAACAATGTAGAGGTTCCTCAAAAAGTTAGAAATAGACCTTCCAGAACTATCACATGATCTAGTTATACCACTCTTGGGCATATATCCAAAGTTCTCCATTTTATACTATAGAGATGCCTACTGCTCATCCATGCTCATTGCTGCTCTACTTACAATAGCCAGGAAATGGAAATGGCCTAGATATCCATCAGCTGACAAATGGATAAAAAATGTGGCATATTCACAAAATGGAACATTATATAGCTATTATAAAAATGAAATTATGACATACTGAAGCAAATGAATGTAGCTGGAAACAATCATTCCAAGTGAGGTAACCTAGACCAGACAAAAAGGCAGATGTTACTTGTTTTCTAACTTGTGAATGTTAGCTTTGAATATGTAGAAATATGTGTTTCATTTGGGATATTCATAGAAGTTGGGAAGTTACTTAGGGGCCATGGAAGGGGGCTTTCATAGGAGGGGAGATAGAACACATTAGTAAAAGGGTTAAAAGGGAATTATGGAAAAGGAAGGGCTAAATTTGAGTGGGGATAGGAAGGACAGGGAAAAGAGGGTAAATAACACAAAAGGCCTTTGAAAAAAGTCATATGGAAACCTACTGTGATATTTTGAATAAGAATGGCCCCCATAGGCTCATATATTTGAATGCTTGGTCATTAAGAAGTGGCACTACTTGAGAGTCATTAGGAAGTATGGCCTTGTTGGAGTAGGTGTGGCTTTGTTGGAGGAAGTGGGGCTGGGCTTTGAGGTTTCAAAAACCCAAGCTAGGTACAGTGTCATACTTTTCTTGCTATCTGTGGATACAGGTGTAGAACTCTCAGCTACTTCTTCAGAACTAGTATGCCTATATGTTGCCATGCTCCTCATCAAGATGACAATGGAATAAACCTCTGAAAGTATAAGCAAACTCCAATTAAACATTTTCCTTTTAAAGAGTTGCCATGGTCATGGTGTCTCTTCACAGCAACAGAACACTGACTAAGACACCTACTTACTACTGTAGAAGATATACACACATACAGGCAGAGAAAGAGGGAGAAAGGTAGAATAAGTGAGAGATGAACACAGAGAGGGGGAGTATTAAAATGGAATTATCCTACAATGGAGCAACAATGCCACTACTGGATTCCAAAGATAACAAATAAAAAGCCCAGTCCTAGGAATATGTTACTTATTTTGGAGTTCTTAGTCAATGAGGTCACATAGATCCTCCCAAATTATAGGCTATTGACAATGCTATTATTTACCCTCTAGAACTTGGTGGTAAAACCCAGTTGCTGAAGGACACCACACACTTGAGTCATGGAACATGGATAAAATCAAGCTGGCACTGATATGGAAGGTTCATCCACAGTGGCTAGTTTTTGTAGTGCAAAAATTGTCTATGCACACTGCCAGGGGAGAAAAGTAGTCAAAAATCTTATTCAACTATGAACTCTACAAGCTACAATAATGACTGATCTGGCAAGATATGCCCCCTGGTGTAATAATGGCACAAATGTTATTGAAGTGACTGACTACTTTCTGCTTGGATCTAAGACCTGCTCCATGACATGGAACCATATCTGGCACTGTTAAAGGGTCCGAGAACTTGTGATTTGATAAGTTATAGGCCCTAGGGGAGGACTCAATACTATTATTTTGCTAAGTGGACACAGTATTAAAATGATTCCTAATGACTTATTGCTATACTCATAGCTCAGAGTATTTCTCAACCCTCATCAGAGAACTTTCTCCTTGCAGTAGATGGCAATACAGAGACCTCTGTGGTGGTTTGAAAGAAAATGGCCCCAAAAGGGAGTGGTACTATTAGGAGGTGTGTCCTTGTTGGACGAAGTGTGTCACCGTGGGGGCGGGTTTGAGGTCTCTTTTGCTCAAGCTTCCCTCAGTGTGACATTCAGTTGACTTCCTGTTGGATGCAAGATGTAGGACCTATTCCTCCAGCACCATGTTTTCATGCACACTGCCATACTCCCTATCATGATGATAATGGACTGAACCTCTGAAATTGTAAGTGAGCTACCCCAATTATCTCTTTTCTTTGTAAGAGTTGCTATGGTCATGGTGTCTCTTCACAGCAATAAATACCCTAAGAAAACTTCCAACTGGTCAACATGCAAAGAATAAGAGACTGTGGAATACTCAGCCTTAAGTGGGACATACATATCAAACCCCTCCTGTAGCTCATGGATTTTTATGGAAGATGGGGTGGAAAGATAGTAAGAGCCAGAGGTAGTTAATAACAACAAGGGGATAGTGTTTTCCAAATATACAGGGTAGTTACACATATGAACTCAAAGCCATTGTGAACAAGCGCAAGACCTTCACAAGATCCAGCCAGAAAAAATCCCAATATGGGAGGGGGGAATTGCGTGTAAAATCCCACCACTAGCTGATGAGCTTTTGGCATTAAATAACTGCTGGAAGAAGGAAAATCAGAAAATTTCATCTTTTTTTTTTTTTTTTTTTTTTTTGGTTTTTTCGAGACAGGGTTTCTCTCTGTAGCTTTGCGCCTTTCCTGGAACTCACTTGGTAGCCCAGGCTGGCCTCGAACTCACGGAGATCCGCCTGCCTCTGCCTCCCGAGTGCTGGGATTAAAGGCGTGCGCCACCACCGCCCGGCGAAAATTTCATCTTTAATGGAATAATATCTAGTAGGTTGAGCACAAACAGGGAAGGCCCGACTCCCAAGACTAGCTGAATAAATACAAGCTGGACTTGAAATGGAAAGAAAAGGAGAAACCTCAAAAGTTGGGTGGAAAGGTAAGGGAGAGTGGAGAGGGTAGTTATGGAAGGAGATGGGGGTGTGGGTGAAGATGTTCAAAATACATTATATGAAATTCTCAAAGAATTAATAAAATATGGTTTAAAATAATGTGGAAAGTAACAGACAAATACAACTGACATTTACCCCTGGTCTCCACATGTGTTATGCATAGGTGCACATATGCATGTACACACATACATGCATACCACATATATACTCACACAAACATTAAAAATAAAAAGATAAATTTCATGTTCATTTTTATATGGTTACTAGATCATGGAAAATAATACATGTGATTTTAATTTGTTGTGGTGGTATTGTGTTCCCCAATATGCTACAATTTGTGGTACACATCATATTTCCATTGGTCAGGGCTGGTCTAGAGGAAATAGCAAAGTGAGACATCAAAAGACTGTATGCATTTTAAAAAGTTGAGCTAACCTGCCTCAAGTATTACTCCATCCTAGTTTACCATATTGAACTACATTAAGTAGGTATTTCCTAATACCCAAAGGATATAAAATTCCTGAAAGACAGATTTAACTATACAAAAGAAGCTACAATTCAGTTGTTTTTAAGATGAACTACTGAGCTACCCTTTTTGTATAAAAATGCAGAGCATCAGAGGACTCAGGGGCACCTACTTAGTTGGAGATATATTCTCATAGAATACAGAATACATGGTCTTGAAAAATAGTAAATTCAATTATAGAAATCATTGTGATGTTATATTCCAAGTAGAAAGAAATGGGACACATCTGTATATTCAATTCCATTCCCAAGCGTCTTAGTTAAGGTTTTATTGCTGTGAAGAGACACCATGACTATGAAAACTCTTATAAAGGAAAATATTTAATTGGGACTGGCTTTCAGTTCAGAGGTTTAGTCCATTGTTGTCATGGCGAGAAGTATGGTGGCATGCAGGCAGACATGATGCTGGAGAAGTAACTGAGAGTTCGACATCTGTATCCAAAGGCAGCAGGAAGAGAATATCACATTGGGTGTGATTTGAGCATCTGAGACCTCAAAGCTCGCCCCCATTGACACACTTCCTTCAATGAGGCCACATCTACTCCAACAAGACCACACCTCCTAATAGTGCCGCTCTCTGTGAACCAATGGGGGTTATTTTATTCAAACTACCAGAACAAGCATTCATTTGTGAATATTTTTGCACAAATTAATAAGTCATTCTATTATATAGTCTCCTCATATGTTAACTGATGTTTTATAGAAGAGACTGCAGAATAAAAGGGTATGTATAACATTTTGAACTTGTTGAATGATGATATATTTCTCATAGTTTTCTGACCTTGATCCAAGAAAAGGGCTCCTTGGTACTCCAGGCATTGATTGATCCAGAATGATGAAGTCTGGCCAGGTTTGGAGCCCACTGTCCTTTGTCCAAAAAAGAAGAGAGAGATTATATTATTATATATACAAATGTATTTATCTTAAAAACTCTGGAACAATAGTATTATCTAGAGAAAGGTTAATATTAGTTGTGGAAGAGATAGAGAAATGCATAAAAGTTTTAAGTATGATAGCATTGATTACTATCTGAAGAACTTGTTTTTTGATGTTATATCCCATGTTCTATTTTTTTTTAGTGGCAGGACAGTACTGGGAAATGAACTTGGGCCCTTGCATGTGTTAAGCAAGTACTCTACCACTGAGGTATATATGCAATCTACAAGTGATACTATAATATTGCTTTATCATATAATGTACATTTATTATAGAAAAGTCAGAAAATTAAAAAATAGTAAAAATAAAAGAAATAAAAAGCATAGACTTTCTGTCCAGAAACTCTTTAAATAATACTCAAACCTCCTTTTTTTCTTTCTCCTTTAAAGTAGAGGTTTGACAAACTTTTTATGTCAACGGCTAGATAGCAAGTATTTTAAGAATGGCAGATTATTATTGGTGAGGATGTGGAGCAAGGGGAACACTCTTCCACTGTTGGTGGGAGTGCAAAATTGTACAGCCACTTTGGAAATCAGTATGGCGACTTCTCAGAAAATTGGGACTCAATCTACCTCAAGACTCAATGATACCACTCTTGTGCATATACCCAAGGGATGTTCAATCATACCACAAGGACACTTGCTCAACTATGTTCATAGCAGGATTATTTGTAATAGCCAGAACCTGGAAACTACCTAGATGGCCCTCAACCAAAGAATGGATAAAGAAAATGTGGTACATATACACAATGGAGTACTATTCAGCAGAGAAAAACAATGACATCATGAGGTTTGCAAGCAAATGGATAGAAATAGAAAATATCATCCTGAGTGAAGTAATCCAGACTCAGAAAGACAAACATGGTATGTACTCACTCATAAGTGGATAGTAGATGTAAAGCAAAGGATAATCAGACTACAACCCACAGTTCCAGAGAAGCTAGCTAACAAGGAGGATCCTAAGAGAAATGACTGGATCACCCTGGGAAGGGGAAATAGATGAGATCTCCTGAGTAAACTGGGGTTGATGCTGTGAATATATGTTGCTATGAGTGATTGATAAATAAAATGCTAATTGGTCAGTAGCCAGGCAGGAAGGATAGTGTAGGCGGGACAAGGAGAGAGGAGAATTCTGGGAGGTGGAAGGCTGAGGAGAGAGATGCTGCCAGCCGCTATGAGAAGCATGATGTAAGATACCGGTAAGCCACAAGCCACATGGCAAGGTATAGATTTATAGAAATGGGTTAATTTAAGATATAAGAACCGAGCTCCCATCCTGCCCCCGACTTCCCTTCTGGACCAGAGGTGAGTATCCGGGCCCAACCCGGACCCCAACCTTGGGCACCAGCCACTCCGGGAAGACCTGCCCAACTTGGCCCCAGGTTCTGGCCACCGGGCAGGTCCCCTTCTAGCCCCACCAGGAGCGATCCCCTTCTTCAAGTCCCCCGGCAGCCCCTGCAATCTCCATGCCCTGCCCCCACGCCCATCTGCCCGAGACCCCAGCCACTTCCTGAGACTTAGAGACCGGCCCCCAGCTCCCATCCTGCCCCCGACTTCCCTTCTGGACCAGAGGTGAGTATCTGGGCCCAACCCGGACCCCATCCCTGGGCACCAGCCACTCCAGGAAGACCTGCCCAACTTGGCCCCAGGTTCTGGCCACCAGGCAGGTCCCCTTCTAGCCCCACCAGGAGGGATCCCCTTTTCCAAGCCCCCCAGCAGCCCCTGCAATCTCCACGCTCTGCCTCCACACCCATCTGCCCGAGACCCCAGCCACTTCCTGAGACTTAGAGACCGGGCCCCAGCTCCCATCCTGCCCCCGACTTCCCCTCTGGACCAGAGACTTCCGGTCCAGATAAGAGCTTCCATCCTGCCCCGGAGTTCCCATTTGGACAAGAGAACTCCCATCTAGACAAGAGAGAGAGACTTCCTGAATCAGTCAGCTCTTTCTGAACCAAGTACACTGATAAGACCAAGAAGGAACCACAAGGAGATGGGCAGACGTCAAGGCAGAAGTACATACAACAAAATGAAGATCAATACAGCATCACCAGAACCTAGCCCACCTCCAACATCTAGACCTGAACATCAAAAATTGGAAGAAACAGAAGGAAATAGCCTTATGAGTAACATCATGAAGAAGGTAGAGGCTTGTGTAGAGGAAAAGACAAAAAAATGGGAAGA